GAAATTTATGACAGTGTAAGTCAAGTGAAATCTCATATTATTATGCGCGTTACATTTTATATCAATTTAGTAATATTTTATGTGTATTTTAATTAATTTTCTAACATTAAGGTACATGCATGTATTTAATAACTTTGGCCTTGTGTTTTTTTTTTCTCCATAATTTCGAAAATTTTATCCCCAAGAATTAAATATTTTATATGGTTATGTTAGATTCTTTTCAATACTTAATTATTTTGCGTGGTCTGCATAGTTAAAATAGTTTTGAAACTGTTATTTCATGCAGTAATTCATTGTTATTGCATTTAGTATTGCATATCGTTGTAAAAAAAAAACTTCGTAATTCATTAAATTTGTTTGTTTTTCTTCGAAAAATTTTTAAATATAATTCATCATTGTATTTAAGTAGACGATAATATAACATTATACATGATAGTTTCTACATTAGGTGCAATTTAACATTTGAAATATTTATGCTCTTTTACTTAGTTAATGTGTTTATAAGTAGACGATAATATAACATTATCCATGTTAGTTCCTATTTTGGGTGCAATTTAACATTTGAAATATTTATGCTCTTTTACTTAGTTAAATTATTTAAGTAGACGATAATATAACATTATACATGTTAGTTTCTATTTTGGGTGCAATTTAGCATTTGAAATATTTATGCTCTTTTACTTAGTTAATATATTTCTAAGTAGACGATAATATAACATTATACATATTAGTTCCTATTTTGGGTGCAATTTAACGTTTGAAATATTTATGCTCTTTTACTTAGTTAATGTATTTAAGTAGACGATAATATAACATTATACATAATAGTTCCTAATTTAGGTGCAATTTAACATTTGAAATATTTATGATCTTTTACTCAGTTAATGTACTTAAGTAGACGATAATATAACATAATACAAGTTAGTTCATATTTTGGGTGCAATTTAACATTTGAAATATTTATGCTCTTTTACTTAGTTTATTTAAGTAGACGATAATATAACATTATACATGTTAGTTCCTATTTTGGGTGCAATTTAGCATTTGAAATATTTATGCTCTTTTACTTAGTTAATGTATTTAAGTAGACGATAATATAATATTATACATGTTAGTTCATATTTTGGGTGCAATTGAATTTTTGAAATATTTATGCTCTTTTACTTAGTTAATGTATTTAAGTAGACGATAATATAACATTATACATGTTGCTTCCTATTTTGGGTGCAATTTAACATTTGAAATATTTATGCTCGTTTACTTAGTTAAAGTATTTAAGTAGACGATAATATAACATTATACATTTTAGTTCCCACTTTAGGTACTATTTAATATATGAAATATTTATGTCCTTTTACTTAGTTAAAACCTACGGTCAATTTATGTATACCTAAAATCATTATCGCGCTGGCAGTATTATTCATATTCTGTTTATCTTTTTATGACTTATGGTAGTAAAATAGAAATCGAGAACTGAAAAATATTTTTTTTGCTATGTCCCTCTATACTTCAGTAGTGAAGCAAGTTTATGATGCAATCATCTTAAAATGGCACTTTTATTTTTAGCGTAGGGCGAAAGCAAAAGAAAACAATTAATAGTGAATTTATAAATACTTGTCAAATATAACTGTTTGTTGACGCCTTTTAATAACATCACGCAAAAACGTTTCTGTCGCTTTCATCAAAATAAAATAGATAAAAGTGCCTTTACTCATTATAAAGACTTCCTACTTTTAACAGCATAATGAAAGATAAGCAAAACGAAAAAATTATTGCTCACTTCTTTCTAAACTATTCTTTAGTGAAGTAAAAAGTCCATTAGCTCGCAAATTGTTGGCCAAAATGCATAATTATTGACGTGTTTTCGCCAGATTAATCGATAATTAGTATGAAATTTTATGTTAACATATTTCATCTAATGGATTCTTCTATATTCCTTAATACATCGGAACATCGTGGAAACTTGACACAGGATTAATTGTAAGCCTCGTGTATGGATTTTTCGAACTAATTTTTTTATTTGTTTCTTTTTTAGTCCAGAGCTGAAGTTACGTGACTATCTTTACGTGGATGACTTGTGCAACTATTTTTTCCGCCTTTAGGAGTTAGTGCCATAGCTGTAACTTTAGAACATTTTTGGCGTCTAAAACTCGAGTTGTATTTATTATTTACGAATATAGTATTAAACAAAATAATTTCCATGATATCTGAAGGTATGTACTGAAAGTATAAGTTCCAATAATTTTTCAGTCAATTTATTTTATATATTCCTCTTTTGTAAAAGCTTTATTTTTTCAAAGTTTTCTTTAAATTTTTATTAAAGTATTTGCAGACGCTATGTTCCTTCTTAAAAAAATGCTTTCGCTTTCTTATGTTCCTGTAATCCTTTTATAGAATGTTTAATTGAATTCAGAAGTGGTTTATTCTAAAATGTTGCAAGTAAATTATTGGAACTTTTAGTGCGCGTGAGAACACAAATTTGCAACAAAAAATATCATAAATATTGGCAATAAATCTTGATTCGGAAAAATATTATCGTCTAAATTAAATCATTCTGAACTTGATTACGCGATAGTTTTGTTAAACTTGAACAGAAACGCTAAATTTAGCATCTTAATAAGGATGCAGTTGCACCAAGTTTGCACAATATTATGGTTCAACATTGGATCGAATATTCCCTTAATTTCATTGTTTTTTAATACAGTAACTAGTTATAACATATAATTCGCGATCGCAACGTTTGAGTACTCCCTCTAGCGGGAGCCTGAAAATATCCGCATGAGTTCTATCATAACCATTGGCAAAGACGTTCGCCATTTTCTTAGAAGCAAATAAAAAGCAAAATTTCCCTAAGGAAAAAGCAGAAGAACTTGAGAAAACTAACCAGAACATGTAAAACATTGAAGCAGAACACGCCAAAAGCATTTGAAGAACAATTTCTCAATAATTTTTACCTTTCTATTATCAACAAACTTGCAACTTTGGGATCGCATACTGTTACAGATGTGTGTACTACGATAAAATACATTTTTTTTGGTCTTCAATTCATTACAAATTAAGGAGAAGACAACATTGCTTTCTTCATTCCAATGGATAAATGTGAATTCAGAACATACGGAACTGTAATAGTTATAGAATATTCTTCTTCTTTATAGAATAGTATATATTTCTGTATCTATCGGAAAACAACAATAAAGAATCATCCGAATTACGTGAAATAGTATCATTTGTGCTGATTATTAATAAATTTTTTATCGTTTTCTTGGTAAGTATTTTTAGTTTTGAAAGAATAATTTAAACTAGAATTAAGCTATTCTGTTTCTCAAGCTACATATTGAAATTCATATCGTGATNTTAAATATTAAGTATAATTTATAGGATATATACTTTCTTTATAATGCCATTACATATTTCTATTAATATAAAAAGTTTCAGAGCTTTTTATTCACTTTACTTTTTTGGGATTTTATGAACTGAAAAATGACAGTTTTCGTGAGAATGATCCATATAAATCAGGTAAGAGTTATGATTTTTTTAATAGAAAATTTATGCTTAAGAATTTTTTTTTCTTATTTGATGATAATTTTCCGTAGAATGGTTTTCTACGTCCAATTATGAATAAAAACAACAAAAAAACATGAAAGTTTTTTATTTTAATGCGGGAAATTTTAGAATTGTTTTTTTGTAAGCATTCTTTATTTTATGCTTTTTAGTTTCTAAATAATGATTTTTATTGAAACTTAAAATTTTCTGATAAAATTTGTAGTCAAAAAACTTATTTTACAAAATTAAATTATATACAATTATGAGGCTTATGTATACTTTTTGCTTATTTTAATGTTTGAAGTAATATGATTCTTAAAATTGTGGAATGTAAAAATTAAATAGGCCTTTCATGTTATATCATTAGATTTAGTAGAACTATTTCTCGTGCATTAGGTTTTAACTCTAATAAGAAGATACATATTTTTTTCTGTTTATGTACAAATATTTTTCCAATGTGTTTTGGATGTTCTTTCTCTAAAAAAAAGAGATACCATTTTGTTTTCGTTTACACAAGAAAGAATATCATAAATTTTTCTTTTTCAAATTTAATAAGCCACATTAAAGAAGGAACGTTACAATACTACACGCTACATTAAAGACGTCTCCAGAGTAACTGTTCATATAGAAATCGCAGGTATTCGTCTCCTACGTCAGCACCCCCTATACTTCGTTGCGATCGCGAATAGTATTTTTATTATCTTTACACATAATTTAATTCTTATTAATCAAACCTTAGCCTCTTAATATACTATGAGTTGGTTAACATCAGCAACAAATTAGCAGCTAAATAGGCTTACTTTAAGCGACAAAACTCTCATTTTAGACAATTCACCAGTCTTTACATTGCACTTCGTCAATTTTGAGAATCATTTCGTCACAAAACCACCTCATTTGGTACGAAACACGAACTCTCAAGTATATGATGAAAACATTTTTCAACTTGGAACCACATCACAGTGTATTGTTAACTAGAATGACGAAACTAGATTGAAAACTAAACGATAGAAATCAGAATGGCAAAATATTTCCCTTTTACTTTTGATGAAACGATAGTAATTTTTTCACTTTATCGAAATGTTCGCTCGGAGCATATACTAGATAAAAATTTCGTCACAAACAAAGAAAGTGCTATGAAATTTGAGAATGCATTTCCAACAGTAGCCAATGTCAATAAAGTGTTTATTTTAAATTTATTAAAATTTTCCTGTAAAATTTTCGTGAAAATTTATTAGAATTTTCCTGTATAAAACCTTTTTTTTATTTAAAGTTTTACGAAACTAGTAAAATTTAGTCACACAATGATGTTTTTAATCGTGCATCTGCCGAAAATAAATAAATTTTTTTAAAGTTATGCAGTGTTATAACTTTCTTTGAATTGAAGTTGGCTGATTGAATGTCATTTTTTAAATGCAACATGTCCCTTACAGGGTATTATAATGGTAGTAGGTTGTGGCAAAAACTATCCATACCAACGGAATGAAAGTGCAATTGATTGAATTCTCAATGGTGGTATGCCTGATAAAAAGAAAAGGTTATAAACCTCACTTAAGAAGCAAGAGACTATCATGAAAATGAAAACATGTGGAGATTACAAAAAAGCGAAGGAAATTGTTGTCAATTTTGGCAAAACCTCTACCCTGCATGGAGCTTCTCGTGTTTGTTTACCTCAAAAGTCTTCAAAATGCTGCTGGTTACTCTACACGTAAGTTAAATACAATACAAATTTTAATATCTGAGAGTTGAGAAAAATCAAGAAACTAGCGTGTATGCATGCTTTGTTATTCACTTTTTTAAAGAAAGATTTTCACATTGAGTCTCATAAATAAGTGCGTAGTTATTATGTGTTCCGTTGGGAACAGTATTTTCACTTCCCGCATTATCACTTTCATTTTCACATCGACTACATTGAGTCTCATAAATTAGTATGTAGGCATTATGCGTTCCGTCGGGAACAGTATTTTCACTTCCCGCTTCATCACTTTCATTTTCACAGTGAGTCTCATAAATTAGTATGTAGCTATTATGTGTTCCATTAGGAACAGTATTTTCACTTCCCGCAATATCACTTTCATTTTCACGTTGACTACATTAAGTCTCATAAATTAGTATGTAGCTATTATGCGTTCCGTTGGGAACAGTATTTTCACTTCCCGCTTTATCACTTTCATTTTCACCGTGGCTACATTGAGTCTCATAAATTAGTATGTAGGCATTATGCGTTCCGTCGGGAACAGTATTTTCACTTCCCGCTTCATCACTTTCATTTTCACAGTGAGTCTCATAAATTAGTATGTAGCTATTATGTGTTCCATTAGGAACAGTATTTTCACTTCCCGCAATATCACTTTCATTTTCACGTTGACTACATTAAGTCTCATAAATTAGTATGTAGCTATTATGCGTTCCGTTGGGAACAGTATTTTCACTTCCCGCTTTATCACTTTCATTTTCACCGTGACTACATTGAGTCTCATAAATTAGTATGTAGGTATTATCTGTTCCGTTGGGAACAGTATTTTCACTTCCCGCTTCATCACTTTCATTTTCACAGTGACTACATTGAGTCTCATAAATTAGTATGTAGCTATTATGTGTTCCATTAGGAACAGTATTTTCACTTCCCGCAATATCACTTTCATTTTCACGTTGACTACATTGCGTCAAATAAATTAGTATGTAGCTATTATGTGTTCCGTTGGGAACAGTATTTTCACTTCCCTCACAATCACTTTCATTTTCACATCGACTACATTGAGTCTCATAAATTAGTATGTAGCTATTATGTGTTCTGTACAATATTTTCAGTTCCAGCATTACCACTTCTAAAACTTCGTATCTCAAAAATTGTTAAGACATTTTGTAAGGCTGGCATCAATACTTTCAGATGTCGTTTTATTTATTTCAAGACAAAATTAGTCATGAGAAGCCGTGATCAAAACATTTCGAAATTACATTTTTACTTCAATGCACAATTTGTGCACGCTTTAAAACGCCGGGTTCAAACTTTCGAGAATTGTATTATTTAATTTAATGCAAAATTTTTGCACGATGTTTAAATGTCGTGGTCAAATTTTTTTGGAATTGTATTATTTATTTCATTGCGATAATTTTGCACTCTGTTGAAAGGCAAAGTAGAAAGTTTTCAGAAATTTTTTTGTTTAAAGACAAAATTACATATTATATTTTCCCATATAAGGTTAGAGCTTCATAACTTCTTAAATAATAATAAAAATTTAGAGATTGGAATTTTTGTCATGCTTTGAAACTCCGGATTCAGGATTTCATAAATTGTATTATTTATTTAATTCAGAATTTTTTCACGTTGCTGAAATTTGGTCAAATTTGTCTGGTGTTGCTGTTAATTTTTTCTGAAATTGAATTGCTTACTTTATTACAATCTTTCGGCACGTTGTTGAAAGACCATGTGCAATATTTTCAGAAATTTAATTACTTATTATCGTCACGTTTTAAAACACCGGGTTCAACGCTTTCAGAAGTTGTAGTATTTATTTAATTACAATATTTCTGCACGTTGCTGAAAGGCCAAGTACAATGTTTTCAGAAATTTAATTATTTATTATAACGCGAAATTTGAACACATTGTTAAAGAGGTGTAATTAAACCTTTTAGAAGCTATTTTTTTATTTCAAGGCAAAATTTAAACGCTTTGTTGAAAGAGTGTAATTAAAACTTTCAGAAATAGGTTTATTTGCTTGGAAACAAAATTATACGTTATAATTTGTCGCGTAAGGTAAGAGTTTCTGAACTTTTTAAATAATAGTAAAAATGTAGAGATAGCCATTTTTGTCTAATATCAAATACTAGGCATATTTGCAAACTACCTAATATATTTTTATATAACAAAAACCTCATATATTTTTAAAGATACTGTTTAGATCCAGTAAACTTTTGCATTGAAAAAATATCACAAATGTTGAAAACTTGGATCACAGTATTCCAAAATAACTTAATAATTATAAAATGAAAAACTATCCTGAGAAATTGTATAAAGGAAAAATGCTGTTTCTGTAGGTATAAAACTCCAAGTGCATATCAACTTTTGTAACTCACTAAATATTTTGAGAAACATTGAAATATTTCATATTTTAAATTAAAAACAGGGTATGTTTACATGTATTGGTTGATTATGCACAGAAAAATATCAAGAGAAAATTATAGTAAATATAATTATTTGTGTAGGTACCCTATACTTAAACCATCACATAATTTATTCTAGTTGACAAAAGTCGATGAAACGCTGTTTATATGTTGATTAGGTGGGGGGGGATAAATCTACAGTGAAAAGTTAGTTTAATATTCAATCACTAGGTGAAGAATGGGCACACATCAAGAATAAAAGCATAAATAGGATTCGCAAAATTTAAATTAATCTGAGTCATGATCAATTACATTCCATTTTCATCAAAAACATGTTTAAGAGCCGCAATCGCTATTCGATACAAATTCCGCGTCCGACTTGCTCCGATCACAGTTCTGACGCGAAATATCCTCAATGGTAGAATGATCATGGATTAGAATCCCCTTTACCGTTAGGCTAGTCGTGGGAGGGTCTTGTGGTCTTCCTCTCCATGTTATGCAAATACGGGTTAATTCCATCAAAAAGTCCTCCATGAAGGCAAAATTTCTTCCAATACTTGATCCAGGAGTTCCTTTGTCCTCTGGATTGGGTTCAAAATTACAAGGCTACATAGTTGAACATTGGTGGTCTAAGCCCAAAATTTGGGTCGGCTTTTTAGCGACGGTTTTAAAATGAAATAATAAAAAAACATGTTTAAATTTAGAGTCGTTGTGGCTCAGTCTGTAGAGCGCTCGTCTCTCAATAAGGAGACGCGGTTCTATCCCAGCGATGGCTAGTCGATACGAATTCCACACCCAACTAGCACCGACCACATTGCGGACTTCCTCATTTATAGAGGGACTCATGTTGGGTTAGAGTCCCCTTGAGCCTCAGGCTAACCGTGGAAGATTTTCTTGGTTTCTTCTCTCCGTGTAACGGAAATGCGGGTTAATTCCATCAAAAAGTTTCCACGAAGACAAATTTCTCTCAAGATTTTATTCAGAAGTTCCCTTATCTCCTGGATTAGGTTCAAAATTGCAAGGCAACAGAGTTGCACAATGGTAGACGAAAACTTAAAATTGGGTCGGCTGCTCAAGAACGGTTATAAATTAGGTAAAAGACACGTTTAAAACACGTAACAGCAAATTCAACGGTACCACAAAGGTTTTTTTGATCTGTTGCAGCAACATGACGTACCAAGTTTGATCTCTATATTGCAGGAAAGGTACTAACTGGTTTCTTCAAAATTAATAATCCGCCTTTTAAGCCTTTTTTCCGTAATAGAATGGAGCGGAATGATTTTACGTCAGTATCGACTGCTATTAAATTAGTTCCCAATCAACGCTTTAACAAATATTTTAAATCTTAAACTCCTTATAAATTAAGATATGAACTATTTTTTAATTGTATGCTTCTTCTACCTGTAGCTCATATCGCATACGTAATTTACCGGTGATATACAAAATGATGGTCGATGTATAGAATGCCTAATGATTATTAGACAAGGCATGATTATTAGTCAAAATAACGATTATTGGGCAAATGCTGAAATTATTATATACATTACTTAGACATAGTATACAATAAAAAATTCTCATTAGCCAAATTATAAAAGTCTATCTAAAAGAATAGGGTATACTTTGTGCTACGTAAACTAAAGCGAAAAATAATGTGAATAAAGCACAAATGAAGTACAGAATTGGATTTACTGTACTATCAGATATAAGTACAAACTGGATTTACCTGTTTCGGTTCTCTAAACACTTCTTAGGGTCTAGAACAATAACTTTTCTCATGGTCTAAACATCAAATGGCATTAGAAAAGCAAAGAGATAAACACGTGCAAAGAGGTTTATCCAATCAAAACACAGGAACAAGTTTATATACGTCGACGAACAGGCGACCCAATTTTTGAGTTTACGACTCAAATACAATCCAGAAGACAAAGAAACTCCTAGATCAGTACCCCTAGAGTTGTTGATTTGGTATGGGAACATGTAGGACTTTGCAACTCGACATGTTTAGCGTGCATAAATCACAATTCACCACACGGGGAGTCTTCGGCCGGTGGGGGTAGAACCCACGAGCTGTTGGACATGGGCCCTATGCCCTACCAACCAGGCTATCCCGGCCTCTCACAGGAACAAGTTTGAAAAAATAATTTTAAAAAAATAATCTTACTTTAGTCTATAATGGCATCGTTTGGTGGGTATAAATAGTAGGGAATAAAAACAACGATATAAGCAATTAGACTAAAGAAAAATAAAAAAAAATTTATTCATTAAATCTAATATTTATGTAACACACATTCTACTTTAATCTGCTTATATCTTATTTTTGATAACATGCGCTTACGAATAATAACAATGCAGAAAAGAACCGGTAAGTGCATACCGGGTGATGGTCCGCACATTCCTGATGGGTAATTATCTCTGTTAATATTAAAAATTTATACTTTTTCAATAAGTCAACAGCAACATATGCAAAGTAGGACACTAAATTTATCTCAATAGAGTAGCTTTATTTGTAATCACTCTGTATTTAATGTGACCATTTAAATCTTTTCTTCAATCAAAATACAATTTTCAAATGTTACCTAATACTCTTACAAGCTTACGTCATTGCAGGGCCCTCATGGCGTTTTGTTTCTTAAGCGTTGCATTAATCATTGCATCACTTCTTTATGACATGCTGAACAAAGATTCAACCATCATCAACTCCGTTAATCAAGACTTCTCCAGCGGGCTAATAGAAGATCCACAGTACTTCCCACAATATCCTCGCATCACGCTCTGTCGAAATCCGTCTTTTAAAATAGGTAAGATTTTATTTCATTTTCAAATGACTATAGAATCTGCCTAAATGAAAATTGAGCACGTATGGTAGCGTCAGAAATACAACAGCGATAAAAGCGCCACCACTTAGAATATGGATGAAATGGCGAGCACTATCTAGGATAAACAGTAGTGAAGAAATCGTGCAAAAGTTTACATTTTGAGCAGACTTCAATATACAGATTTTCGTAACATTCCGCACATTCTCGAGTAACATTCCGCAAGCTGACGTACACAGCGCACTTATCAAAAAGCAAGCTGAGTTCTCTACAGAGTTACGCAAAACGTACGTACTGAAGCATACAGGATACTACGTAAGAGTGTGAAATCTCTCTAAAACTAGACCTTCCAAATCTAATCAAGTAAAATCCGTGATCTCATTAATCAAGTGTTGTTGTTGGTGATATTGTTGAAGATGGAATTACGACTCGTGATATCTGTACAGCACTGTGCCAGAATAAAAGAATAATACAATCATCTTTAGCGACCAAATAGCGTACTGCTGCACATTTATCTGTTCTGGACGAATCAGTCTTTAGTACGACATTACATTACATGTAATTACGGTAGTAAATAATTACACTCTCAGGCCAAAAAGTAAATGAATGCACGCAAACTGCGATACGCTCATTCTACCTTTCTTTGTANAGACGCAAAAAATCAAGGTAAAATTTAAATTGTGTTCAAAAGAGAACTTGCAGTTTGTTTAATAATATTAAAAGAGAACTAGTGTGGTTCTCTTTTAGTATTATTAAACAAACTGTAGTAATTTTTCTATAGTGCATCACAAGTTCTGCGAACTAAACATCTTACAACAGGAAGCAATTTGGGCTGAGTACGATATATTAAACAATCATACGTAAATAACTAAGCAACAATATATTAAACAGATGTACAAAAAAAGTTAAAAATTTTATATAATTTGAGAAAAAAAACGCCACAAAAATGATGAAATGAACTTTAAAATTAAAAAATATATATATGTATAAACTAGAACACAGTTATTTTATTTTATAAATATTTTAAAATCAAATTTTTTTTTAAATAATTCTACTTTTTAATCAATTTTAATAACTAAACATGAATTTAACTATTTTTATTTACATTAAACCTATAAATTTATCTTTCTAATTCTTAATTATTTTTTATTTTTATAATCCATGAGTGATCTGATGTCAGATTTTCTTAAACTAGTTGAAGAACTTAGTGGCGTTTTTTTTCCCCTCTAATTTTTTGAGACTATTTTTAAGCATTATTTGACTGTACCACATTTATTAATTTCATCAGTAATAGCTAACGATCTTTGAGTATTTTTTTCGGGTAAGAAAAAAAAATCCCTAATACATTTGGTCATGATTCGTCAAGAAACAAGTAACTTTAAATTGCTGTTCTTCTTGCAGAAAATTTAAAATGCAAAATTTGAAAAGTTTAATTGAATAATGGGATACACGCAAGGGACGAAGTATGGGCATCTCGATCCTGATTGGTTGTTGAAACGTGGCATTTGCTTACGCTACAAACTGCTCTTTCCATTCTATTTCGAGTAAGCCAAGCCCGACAAGTATAAATTCTCTTAAGTAACATAATCTGTATTCTTTAACAAAGAATTCAATTCTTTCACCATTTATTTCTTATTTAACACAAAGATAGGCACGAAGTCATGTGGAACATAAGCAAACTAATTATACATCGAAGTTGCTAGATGCCAAAACCAAAAATATAGCAGGGTTACAATAAAATACATTAACAAATAATAAATCTAAGCTATGTAAAAGACATGGAAGAGAAAGAATTACATTTCAACTGAATCGATGTGCTATACAGCGCAATATTTAATTAATTTAACATTAATTAACATTCTAACTTATGTGGAGAAATTGAGCTCAACTTTAACACGCCATTTTGCTTATAACTATATGACACACGTGTAGGTATCCGATATCTTCTTCTTCTTGAAGTGTAAGTACCCAATTAAGTATTAAAGATTTTAAGATTTCGCCAAATGGAAACGTGCGAAAAAGAAGTAAAGAGAAGGCATAATATTTGTTTTCCATAGACAACGTAAAATCAAAGATATTTTACCCAAATTTACTGAAATGTTACTTAGAACTTTCATTCCCTCGGCTCTTCAATTACTTTTCTCTTACAGTTTTCTCAGATTCCATTTTTTAAAAATTGTTTGTTCTAAACCATTATTTAAATCCGTATTATAAATTTTTAATCATTTATAAATAAATTGTTTATTCAATTGACATATCCTTTATAAGACAATACCTTTAAAAATTTACCGACATAATGTTAATTATCTACAATCATGTCTGTAAACTGCTAATAAAGGCTTAAAAATTTAAAACAGTAAAGTTCTTTGATATACTTTATTTATTATTTCAGATCCCCTTACAGATCCCCTTTATTTATTATTCAGATCCCTTTACTTTATTTTTTTATTTCAGATCTTAACGAAACTTTTTTATCCATCGTGGAATATGCATCCTTGAGTTTTGGCTATCCCTTTATTTCTCTAACTCCTCGAGAAACAGCTATGATTATTCAATTAGGAATGGTAAATATCAGCACTGATCAGAGCCTCAAACCAAAATTGAATGCCTTCAAACAGAATCTTATGAGACAAGAAAACCGATACAAAGTACTGAAGAGGATGAATCCGCATTTTGATTTAAAGAAATTCATGCTCGAAAATGGCGTCAGGTATAATTATTTTGAAAGACTGTTTTTTAAAGATATTTTTAAAGTGTTTATAAAGTGTTATAATGGCACTAAGATTGTGCCATTTCCAAACATTGCAGCAAGGAGCCGCGAAGGCTCAGGGAACGGAGAGTTCCAATCAGGAGAACCGAGTTCGAATCCCCATCAATGGCTGATCGGAACAAATCGGCACCACAGTGCTGACGTGAAATATCCTCAGTGGTAGACGGATTATGGGTGAGAGTCCCTTTACCGTCAGGCTAACCGTGGGAGGTTCTCGTGATCTTCCTTTCCATTTAAAGCAAATGCGGGTTAGTTCCATCAAGAAATCCTCCACAAATTTCTCCCAATGCTTGATCCAGGAGTTCCTTTGTCTTCTGGATTAGGTTCAAAATTACAAGGTTACGCAGTTGAACGTTAGTAGTTGTAAGCCCAAAAAATTGGGTCGGCTGTTCAACGACGGTTATAAAATAAAATTAAACATAAAAACATTGCAGCATTAGTCGGTTAATCTGAATTAGCTTTCCCCTTACAATTTGGGTTGTCTTGTTTCACCCCATTTTATTCAACAATCTAATCTAATGACAATCTAATTGAGTTTCATACAGTCCCGCAGTGGACTGATCGTTAAGACACGGTTCCCAGCAGATCACCGAAGTCAAGCGTAACTGGCTGCGGTCAGTGTGCAGGTGGATGACCACTTGGATCAGTCTGTGTAGGGACCGAGGGTGTGCGGTATTGGTCCTCGTTAAACTGTTCTACCGTAAAGTTCTCGACTTCGCGTGCAGGTCGTCGGGCTACCAAAGAAGGGGTGCCATCCCCTCTGCGGAGGATCAAAATTGTGATGGCATGTCTTCGGATCATCCTCAAAGATGTTTCCCAGACCATCGCCAATAGCCCATTGTGCAGCTCTACTGCGACGTAAATGAACAAAACAAAACAAACTTAGATACCAACTTCAGTAATTGGACGTGTTTTTATACTTATTTCTTATAATAATTTAATTTATAAGGGGGAAAGCGGGATGATAATAAGGACAACATGTTTTAAAACGTTAAGGCGTCACACGTATTTTTAATGAAATCCCAATCAATGCAAGCAATCGAAGTCAATTAAAATTTGATTTGAATGAATTAATTTCTAATAAATTTTCAGTAATTACTTAAAATAGTGTAATTTTTGTTTTAGTTTTATATCACAATCTACATTGTTAGTTACCGATGATTGACGCATCTTAATGAAAAGTTCAGTGTCAGGCACCGATGACTTACGTGATACTCAACATTTAAGTAAATTTTCAAATTTTCAGCAATTACGTTAAATAATGTAAATGTTTTAGATTCATATCAGATTCTACACTGTCAATGACCGATAACTAATGAGGCCTAAATGAAAAATTCTGTGTCAGGCACCGATGACTGACGTGACATTTACTTTGCGTGTGATTTTCTCCACCCTTTTAATGACTAAAATTTGTGTGGATTCTGAGGATTTCGAACACTCTATCTATATTTACCAATCACAATCAGTTATGTTTTCATAAAGCAAAGCGTCATGTTTGCTTGTTTATTTATTTGGTACAATATCCATTAATATTGTATCAAAAGTACTAAATCTTAAGACGCAAAAAACTTAAACTTAGAATGAGTTTACTGAACATCAGCTGCTTAAAGTGGTTTTTTAAAGTTCCTTCGCTAAAGCCACAATTGAAGTAAGTTCAAAACAAAGCTTTAATTTTCTAACTTGCAGAAAATTATTGAATGGACCTTTATATTTTCAAAGTTAATAGTTTATATTTTCAAAGAGATTATCTTTTGCAGTAATATACAGTTTATTTCTGTGTATCCTTTATTATTATCTTGATCTTTTTTAAGAAGAATTATAATATAATATAGTGTATTTTTTAAATTAATTTTAGTGAAAATTTAAAATATTTATTGCAAAATCAAAAAAAATCAGTTCATAAAATTAAAAAAATTTAATTAAAATTATATTTTGTTAAATTTTAATTATATATATTTTCATTAAAAATAAAAAATAAAACATTTATCATTTTTTTTTTTGCTTTTAAAAGTTTAAATTTTGTTAAAAAAGTTAATTTAAATTATAATAAAATATAATAAATAGGAGAATAATAAAAATAATTTTAAAAAATCATCATCATCAGTAGCTCGACAGTCCTCGGTGGACCCTGGCTTTCTCAAGAAGACTGCACCAGTCCTTTCTTCTGCATGCCACGGCTTTCCAGTCTCTGACCTTGATTGTGGCAAAGTCCCTTTGGAGGCAATCCGCCCATCTCAGTCGGGGTCTGCCTCTCTTTCTAGCTCCAGTTGGCCTTGCCAAAAAGATTCTTTTAGTTGTTCTGTCATCATTCATTCTTACAATGTGTCCGGCCCATTTCATGCGCTGAATCTTATGGTACATCAGAATGTCCGGTTCTCTGAATATCCTGTAGAGTTCAGAGTTAGTTCTCCTTCTCCACACTCCCTTGTCACACACACCACCAAAAATGGACCGGAGTATCTTCCTCTCGAAAGCAGCGATGGTCCTCTCATCAGCTTGGGACAAGGTCCAGGTTTCAGATGCGTAAGTGAGAACTGATCTTATTAGGCTTTTATATATTAGCAACTTGGTGTCTCTTTTAATGTTGTCAGATTTAAGGAATTTTCTTATGCCATAAAAGCACTTGTTGGCTGCAGTTACTCTCTTCCTTACTTCTGTGGAAATTGAGTTTTCGGAGTTGATTTCAGAGCCAAGGTAGGTGAAAGAGCTCACCTTTTCAAATTTATACTCTCCAATCTCGATGTGCGTGGAGGTATCGGTATAGTTGATACTCATTGTTGATACTCATCAAATATTAAATAATAAAAAAAAACTTTATGGGGAGCATATTTTCCCCAGGGGCAGCAGTAGCGGAAAAAATATATTTGACGCAACTTCTGGCTTATGAAAATTTTTCAACCATGGTCTTTAATTTAAATTTTTTTTTCCATTACATATTTCACAGGTGCACACTAATATAACAAAATGTTTTCATGACATTTTCATGAGAATTTATTTTTGTAACCTATAATAAAAAAATGTTTAATGAAAAATGTCGTTCAAGTTTCATTACAAATAATGGCATGGTTTGTCCTTGCATAATTAAAATCACTATACAAATAATGTTATATACTCGTTTTTTGTTCCTTAATTAACTCATGTTTTGCTTTTCAATGAGCTCACGCTTTACGTTTTTAATTAACTCGTTTTTTATTATTTTTCAACTGCTTAAGTATGTGGTAAATTTGCATCTCTTTACTAACCTATTTTAACTTTCTCTGAATTTCCAGGTGTGAAAATTTTTTCAGTCACTGCATGGCGTCAATAAATTCCTTCAATTGCTGCGACTCATTCAAGCCCATACTAACATCTTTCGGCTTGTGTTATACGTTTGAAAGTTTAACAGAAGTTGATGAAACAAGCCGTTCAATGGATATGAAATTTACTTTCATATTTGATTTACTCTCACCTCCAGATATCGGTAAAATCGTATTTCTGTTAATCTAGAATTTGATTCGAGAACACGTGTTTTAAAAGCATTTAGGTTTCATTTACGTTTAAATGAAGCTAAACTGTTTCTCTTTGTGTAATTATAGTTATGAAAGAAAAACTCCCTACAATTTCTAAAATGCTCCAATCAATTAATTTTAATAAGAAGTTTGTAGGGGGAAAAAAGATACAAATTTTTAAATTGAATTGTGATCAAACATTGTTCTTTTTAATCTAGCATTGTTTATTTAGGGGACCGGAAAGTAATGACGTGTCGGTGCATTTGATATTTGTAATCAAGATTTTATTTTTAATCAATAATGTATTTACCTTACAATGCCGGATCTGAAGTAAATCGAAATGGATTGAAAAAAATGAATTGTTTTTTAAGACTAACGAACATTTAATGTGCCGAAATGACATAACTTTCCGGTTCCCCTAATATTTTCAGGTATTTAACTTGTGAACATAGTCTTTCATCATGATGGACGAGATAAGTCGTTTTCCAGAAAGATTCACTATGCTATAAGGGACGAAATCACTCGTCTTCTGCACATTTTTTTCAGCACATCTAGCGACTTATTTATCAACATTTAAGTGCATTCAAATCCATAATATTTTGCCTTTACAAAATTTCTACAAAATGACGCCAGCAGCATAATTTTTATTGCCTTCGCGATATTATTTTTATTTTATTACCATTATTCTTATGCCTGCAAACACAAATAAGCCCTTATAGTGAGTAATTAATTATTATTTTTTAAAGTAAAATAAGTTTTACGTAAATTCGAATTCTGCTTAAATTTTAACTACAAAGGTTTAACTACATAAGCGCGACATTGCTACAATGAAAGTGGTAAAGAATTGATGTAGAAATTAGAAGAAAAACTCCCCCATTGAAAAATTTCCCCTTTTTTTTCAGGAAAACGAGATAACTTCTTATACTTCTGTATTTTTTGTACTTCTGTACTGAGATTATACTTCTGTACTTTTTTTTCCTGAAATTTTGAAGTTACTTTTTCATTGAGTGTGTCACGACAACTTAATAATTAAAAAATATTTTGGATCGATACTTTAAAAAAATACGTGTTTAATATTTTTGAAAATCCAGGGAAAAGGCGTGTAAAGGAAATCCAGGGAAAAGATTTTCTACAACCACAATATTGTGTTACGTTGAACCATATAATAAGTCTCATCAACAATACTATGGTTCAACCTGAACGGAAATATGGTTAAATTCATCAATTTTTTAAGGTTTCAGCAAATTTGCACCATACGTTGGTTCAAAGTAACGATATAAAGGTACAACGATAAATGGATTAATTTGAGAACGTGAGCCTGTATTAAAAAAAAACTGGCAAAGACACTTTACCCAGCTTTTCACTATTTCACAGTAATCGACCATTTCCTTATAAATAAATTATTTAAAAGGCAATCTCGTACTGATCAAACGGGACAGCAACAATTATTATTTAAAATGTATAATTTAATTGCTTAGAATAAATAGTGGAAACATACAACCTAAATTTAAACACGTGCAAAAACATTAAGCTTAATTTCAAAAATAGAAAAATCTAAGGAAGCCCACTCTTAAATTACGAAAAACGTTTGTAGCAAAAGCCTTGATTTTGTTTTCGAACTCTAACAGGGCAGAAACTTAAGTAACCAGTTAGTATGCCTGCCTATATTTTTTATTCATTCTAAATGTAAACATTTATAACTCATACATGTTTGCTTAAATAAATTTAATTAAAGGAAAACAGAATTTTAGTAGCATAAATATTTTAATTTTCACAAAAAAGACTAAAAAGCCTAATATTTATTAGACAGCTGCGTTGCTGAACAAATATACTAACATCGTAAACATATGAACGAAATCATACCTATTCGATAAATAGATAAATAGTTTTGCTTCACAAACTTAAAATTTTAGCATGAATCAAAACCGTGCTACTCTACACATTTTAGAATGCTGCTGATAGCATAATTTTAATGTCCACAAATTGTTCCTAGCTCAATTTTCAAATTTCCTTTTACCACTTTTTTTTCCGTTTAGGTGGAGCAGTCCCTAGAGGGTTCAGTGTTTTTTTTACAGATCCAGTTTCAGAATTCTATATTGCTGAAGCATCCAAAGGTGAAAAAATTTTCCCTGACAAGATTACAGAGATATCTGTGACCCTAGAAAAAGTAAGAATGACAGACGTAAGCGATCCCTGAAGCATTCTGATTTGATATTTTAAAATAACTTAATATAATTAACTTAATACGAAATATAAAGTTAAGTTCTCACAAAGAAATACTTTGTTCTGTCTGTTCATGTAAAATGTTATCGAATGACTCTCCGTTGAACTACAACATTGCGATTAAAACAATAAGTATTTAATTCAATTCTTTAATTTTCCGTCAGATTCCACGTGGTTAAAAAGAAACGTACTTGTTCGAGGATAAATTTATCCTAAACACCGTAGAGCAGGGATGGCGAACCAATGGCACGTGACACAATATTTTGGGCACTCCACCAATCACAAAGTTCACTATGAATTATATTAACAATTGAATTAAAATTCACAAAAAACAAAAACAAAAAATTAACAATTATTTGAAAAAATTAACAATTAATGCAAAAAAAGCAATTAATAACCATAAAAAACAAGCTAACAATAAATAACTAGCAAAAATATTAACATATAATAGCTAATAGAAAGTAAAACAAAAGAACAATTAAGCTATGCAAGTGAAAGCGAAACAAAAACTGCACAGGATATAATATGACGCCTAAGTGAAGGCAAAGAGACTCGAAACAATTGGTCTAGCCAGAGCAAAAGCATAGCCAACGCGCTAATTTTTCATTCTTTCGTCCCTTGGGCGTCAAACTAAAGTTTGTACATTCGCTTTCCTGAGAAGGTATTTATAAATTAAGTACAGTTAAACACGATAAAATTTGTAATACATGTTCAAAGATAAACTTTTCTTATTATGCAACATTTATTTGTATTTATAGGCACTTTTAAACTGCAATTAATTCCAAAATAGCGAAGAGCTACTTTTCAAAAGCGTAGTATTATATTTCCTATCTTTCCCTGTAGTGAAATCTTGAGGTGAAACGAAGTATAGTGATGCATTATTTGTTTACGCAAAGCATAATAGTCAATTTCGTTGACACAACTGCATTTTGTATTTTAAAGTTTATTTGTGTTATATTTGCGATTTTTAACTGTTATTTAACATAGCTAGTTCAGCAAGGAAAACAAAAGTGTAAAATAGTAAGCATATCATAGAATTTCAAACTTGGTGGACAAAGATATGGCATGATTAGTAAAGGAGACAAAGCAGTATGTGTTTTTTGTACTGGAACAGTGGTATGTAGAACATCGTCTGTAAAACGGCATTTTGAAACAAATCACAAATTCGTTAGTCAAAAAAGTGAACCAGAGCAAAAGGAATTAATTGCAAGTGCAATGACAAAAATAAACAGTCCACTTCTATGATTAAATATGTTGGCAAAAATTGTCATACGAGTGCGGCAAGTTACTCGGCTGCAAATATCATTGCTCGGCATAGTAAACCTTTTCAAGAGGGAGAGTTTTTGAAGGAAGCCTGGTTAGCATGAGCGCCCTCACTTTTGGAGGATTTCGATAACAAAGATAAGATAATTCAGCGCATCAAAGATACCCCTATCTAGAAGTATAATAAAAGAAAGAATATTGAAATTGGCCGGAAATGCAACAGATCAACAAAAAATTGACATTATTTCCGCTCTTTTTATATTGCTGTGTCTTGACGAAAGCCCTGACATCACTAAATCTGCACGTTTAGCTGTTATTGCTCGATATTGTGTAGGAATTACGTCATTAAGTCATTAAGGAAGAATTAATTGTGATCACATCGTTGCTAACAACTATAAAGGGCACAGATATTTGTACGGCTATTAAAAGTTCACTTATTGAGAAAGAGATTGATTTGAAAAAAATTATTTCGGTAACAACTGATGGTGCTCCAAGTATGGTGGGCAAAAAAATGGTTTCATAAGTTTATTTCAAACATACATAGGGCACTTGATTCTTGAATTCCACTGCCTCATTCATCAACAAGCCTTGTGTGCTAAGCTTGGCCAAAGGATACTCTGAGCTCTTTGTTCGCCAAGGTGCTAAGTGTGGTTTAACATCTCTTAATGATGTAATGACGGTAGTCACAAAAATAGTCAACCTCATTTCCTCGCAAGCTTTAAATAAACGAAAGTTTGATGCTCTGTTGGATGAAGTCAACTCGGTGTATAATGGCTTACTGATGTATAATAATGTTCGCTGGTTGAGCCGCGGGAACGTACTTCAAAGATTCGTTGATTGCTTGGAAGAAATCAGACTGTTTCTGGAAAATAGAACAATACCCACAGTTGTTGGATGTTATGTGGCTTTCAAAATTGATGTTTTTTACAGACATATGCCAACGTTTCAATGAATTGAATGTGAAGCTGCAAGATACAAATAAAGCGAGTATCGCCATGATAGATCTCATTCGCGCTTTTGATGCTAAACTGCATGCTTTCAGTAACGATATTATTACGAGAAACTACAAGTATTTTCCAAACTTAAAAAAAAATATATAAACGATTTAGATATACATGAGAAACTAGGTGAAGAAACAGTCACTGAAATTTTTTTTTCTGTTATTGATTCTTCAACCAAGGAATTTTCAGCTCGATTTTCCCAGTTCAAGGAATTATCAGAAACACTCAAGTTTATTATGTACCCTGATGTGACTTTATTAGATAAATTGAACTTGTCCCAATTCCATTGGTTGGAAATTGAAGAATTTGAAATGCAGCTGATTGATTTCCAGTCTAGTTCATATTGAAACAAGAAAAGAGTTGGAATTAATCGAAACAGAAAGATTGACAAGCAATAGAAGTAAAAATGTCAATAACAAAATTTTGGAAGCATGGAATTTGTTACCAGACACATTTAACTGTTTGAAGAAGCTGGCTCGTGCTATTTTAACTATATCTTCGTCTATCTATGCCTGCGAGTCAATATTTTCAGAGATGACTAACATTAAACACTCGCTTAGAAACCGTTTGACAGACGACTCCACATCAGCATGCATTCTGCTTACAACCCTAATATAAGATATTTGTCATCTAATCTGCAACAACAGAAGACACACTGATGTTACTTTAAAGTTTAATTATGCATAAAGCTGATACATTGCAAAAAAAATTTTCGTAATAAATAATAAGTTTTGAATTAATAAATATTAAGAATTTCATAATAAATAATAAGTAAATAAAGAGTTTTGAATCGATAGTATTTAGTATTATTAATTTCCCAATAATCACGTAAGTCAAAATTGTTTGATGGCACGTCTATGATCTCATTAAACATTTTTCTAGAAAGATTGGCACGTTGATACATACAGGTTCGCCACCCCTGCCGTAGAGTATTCTGTTTTCACAATAAATTGTTAATCGTTTGAGAGCTATAAAAATCAGGCTAACTTAAGCAATAATTAAAAGCAATGCAACATTGTAGAAAAAATATTTTAAAAAAAGCAGACGATATTTTTGGAATTATTTTGAAGTTGATTGATTCAGACCGAATTTGAGTAACAAAGTGCAATGAACCCGTTATTGGAAAATATAAGACATAGTTTTCGTTAAGAAATGGAGATTGCCCATTAAGGGGTAAGAGAGTGAAGATGTTTAAACTATATTAGCGTCAAAATATCCAGCTATTTAATTAGTTCTGACATCATTGTACAGAAAACCGTCTGAATGAAAGGAATTGCTATTGTCCTGTAATAGATAGAAATGGTGAAAAACTTTATTTTATTTAAATTAATGTCATTTTAATTGTGATAGTGTAGTGTATGACTAAATAGCAAGTAATATTCTTTTTTACAGACAGATGGTGGTCGTTGATGTTTAATTACGTTGGGTATGACATGATGCAAGAGCGCCAGAGATTGTATGGGATATGATTGATAGCAGTCGCCCATTCGGTAGCATTCCTTATTCGTTTGATGTGTTATTTGTAGAGCCCGGAAGTTCAGGCAAAATGCCATAAATGCCCTTTTCTGCCTTTTTTAAACGTTTTCTTCTGAAAATGCCTTTTTCTTTCCTTTTGTTCATAAATGCCTATTTCTGTCTAATTGAAAGTTTTTCTGCAAAGCTTTTTGTACTTTTGACCGAGCATAAATTTTGAAGAACAGAAATGGTTGACTGTCATCCGACGTATTGTAATGCATTTATAGAGATTAGGACTTAATTCCTTTTGGGACAACTCCCTCCCTCTGAGGCAGTGGTCACCCCTCGCACTGTACAATGGCTATTCATCTGAGCTGATAGTGTACTCGTGCTTGAGTGAGCAAGGCAGGTGAAAGACATTTTTCTGTCCATGAGATTGACAGTGTTGTTTGAATAGAGAATAGAATACACTTAAAGCTGGAAATGCCATAAAAGTTTTATTTCCTAATATGATCCATCTAACGTGCCTTGCTCATGCATTGCACAGGATAGCAGAGGAAGTAAGAGGTCTCTATCCTGAGGTAGACTCGCTTGTTTCTAGTGTGAAAAAAGTATTTGTGAAAGCCCCTTCAAGAGTTCAAGTGTTCAAAGAAATTGCACCAGACATTCAATTACCTCCTAAACCGATCCTTACGAGATGGGGAACATGGATTTCAGCAGTCTCATACTACTGCACAAATTTTGAGGAAGTTACTCGAGTCCTTACCAGCTTTTCGGATGAAGAGGCAATATCCATAAGAAAAAGTAAAAATCTGCTTAGCAGTTCTAAAATTAAAAATGAACTGACTTTTATTTCAACTTATTTTGGGAAGCTCCCTGGAGCTATTGA